AGCAGCCAGCCCAAGGGAGCTCTGTGGATCTGAAGGGTCCTGGGTGGCTCCCACTGCATTGTGCTCGGGCGGCAGACTCTCTGAGCTCCTTCCCTCCCCTGCAGAAAACCCCACCTCCCCTTCCATGGGGACGTTGTCAGGCCTCTGCTCTCCATCAGCAGGGGATGGGGAAACAGCCATCTCGCAGAGAGGCTCCTGGTAATCTGGTACCTTCTGCACACCCAGAGGCTGCTCATCTCCAAGGGTTTCACGTGCCTGGAGGTCTAATTGAAGCTTATGTGTTTGTTTCCCTTCCTGCTGCTCTGAAGGGAAGGGTCTGTCCAGATCCTTTGGCCACCCACAAATGCCCAGCAAGTGGCTTCCTCCCTCTCCTTCAACAGCAGGCGCCAGACCAAGGGGATCGTCTTCAGCACTGGGCTTCTGCAGGCTGCCATGAGCAACTGGCTCTCGGTCCTGTGAATGAGGACGGGACCCCGTTCCCATTTTTTCAGCCGGGGAAGCATCGGAATTGGCAGAAGCAGCATGATTTGGTGGAGACAGAAGTGGCTCTTTGCCTTCCAAATTGGTTGGGCATTCAAGAAGGGAGTCCATGGACTTGGCCGCCTTGGGGCTAAGAGTCTCATCCTGGCTGCCCTCGTGGGAGAAAACAGAAGGCGCAGAGACGGAACGGTCAAGCAATTGGCTTGCCAGGTCGCCGGCCTTTGGACCCATCTCTGGAAAACGGACTGGAGGTTTCGTCCCATCAGAAGTTGGTAGCGATGGCATTTCTAGTGAGGTAGTTTCTTTGTCACTATGCTCTGTATAAAGGGCAGAGGAGAAAAGGGGGGAGGAAGGAGAGAGAAATGGAATGAGATTCTCCCTTTGATACATTCCACGAGCGTATATAAAACCTTCAGGAGGTACTGCCTATTTGCTTGCGTCACCGGGACTTGCTTTGGGGTATGCACTCAGGGTGCTGTTAAGAAATGCCTGGAGGCTGGATCAGGCCCAAGAGGGCCCATCTAATCCTCACAGTGCTCAACTGGATGCCCCAATGGGAAGCCCAAAAGCAGGACCCGAGTGCAAGAACACTCTCTTTTTACATGTGATTTCCAGCCACTAATATTCATATCTGAACTGCCTCTGACTGTGAAAGTAGAAAGGAACCACAAAGGCTAGTAACCACTAGGCAAGGCTCCTGTTTTTCCACCCGCACCCCAAGTATAGTAACACTGGGGGAAGAGAGGCAGGGGCAGCCTTTGCCCTTGCCTTGCAGGGGGTTGGGCTAGATGACCATTCTGGCCCCTTCCCCACACTACAGTTCTATGGGTCTGAGATTCCACTGGGTTGGTTTGGGACAAAGGGCCACTTGGCTTCTGTCAGAGCTGCCTCCATCAAGCAGCCACCTCACCTCAGCTGTCATTATTATTATTATTATGCAGCATGAAACCAACAGCTGGCACCCAAACAAGCACCAGATCTCTTCGTCCTCCGCCCCCTTCTTGCCCTTTTGGCAGGAAGCTGCCCATACTGCTTTGGCAGAGACACAGCATATAAATAAGGCTGGGAATCAAGAGTGGCCACAAAGCTACAGGTTTCACTGTTTCCCCCCCAATGCTCCAACGAGATGCAATTAGTGAAACCAACATTCTTGCTAACGTTTTAAGAGTAGGCTATAAATTTCCAAAACTGGGTATTTCCCCTCTATCCCAGGGTGAAAAAAGGAGTGAGGATTCAGTGGTAAAGTAGCCTGGCCATGTTTTAAAATATATTTTATTTCAAGCAGCTCAAAATTGTCTTGAAAGACAGGTGTATTAGAAGCAGCCCCCCTGCCAGGCTGATTTGCTCAGCATTAGGCAACCTGTTAGCAAGATTCGGTTTGAGCTTGGGGGTCATCTAACTTTCCTGAAGGTACAGATCTGGATATGAGCCTCTTGCTCTCTGGTTAAGTCATTCTTGTGAGATAATCCCACAGCAAAAGGCATTAAAAGTTTTGCTAGCTAAAATAAAAAGAAATGACACTGCTTTTTTGATCTGAGTTATTTGGCAAACAGTCTTAAACAAGCATCCGGTTCTGAGGTCCGCTTTGCACCTACTCACCTGAGAAACTCCCCGGAGACCAAACGAAACAAAATTCCTGCACTTCCCCCCACTTATCGGTTCTGGGGTGAACATCCGAAAAAGAGGCCGAGTCTGGCCAGTGGTGAGTTAATCCCTCAGAGAGTGGTGTTGAGTGTTCAGCTCCAGGCACCACCAAAAACTACTGCGCTCAAGTTGTCTGAATCGAGCGCATCCACACAAATATGCCCCCTCTGCAGTTCTCTTCTCTCTGCAGCAGACGCTGGGAAGATCCAAGAGCCTGCTCCATGCCGACCAGGGAGGATGCCAGAATAGGAAGGAGCTCCTTTAAAGTCCCCACCCCTGCAACCCCCGTCAAGGAGATGGAAGAGCTCGGTGGAATACCTGGTCTGTGGCCCACTCCAGCGGCAGCAAACCCCACACAACATGCATCAAGGCTTCTGGCGTTCTGTTTGGATTAGGAGACAAACACACCAAACTCGGGTTAGCACACACGCACATGCACCACGACTCGGGAGGTGGCTTGCAGCCCTCGCGTGGGTCCTCATGTCATGGTCTGCTTTCCTGTCCCCTTCCCTTTCCTGCATGCAACTTAGCAGCTCCTCGCGGCTGTCACTTCTTTCCAGGAACGATGCTCAGCTATCTTAGCCTCACAATGCACACTGAATAGCTTTTTAGAACGGGTCAAGAAGCGTCCGCTTGCGGACTTCCGGGGTGGCGCCATCGGTAATGGCGGATTCCCTCTGATCTGGAGGGACTGGCTCCACGGGAAACGGGTCTGTTCCGCTACGGCGAAGCGGGGACCCTTTAAAAAATCACAGGCGGATGAAGCCTGTGACCATGGGACTCGGCGGGCACCCTTTGCGCCCCCCAATCCGTAAAGGAACCCAATTACGGGTTCTGGAGCGAAGAGGGGCAAGTGGCGCGGTGCTGAGAGTCAACTGCTTCTTCCATGGAGCGAAGCCGCATAGCCGTTGCCGGAGAGCGCTACCTTTTTCCTGGGACAATTTGGCTACAAAAACAACTACCCGTGAGTAGATCAAATTTGGACAATTGGACTTTAAACGACAAGTGAGTAGAACGGGAATTTGGACTGAGAAATTCTTTTTAAATTGGCACTGAAGCGGGAAGGTCTAAACAGGAAGTCAGCCTTCCATTTCTTGTAGATAGTTTAAAGCAAAGACATGGTAAACTAGAGTTCAAAAAATCGTTCGTAAAGGATTAACTTTCATCATTTAAAAGTACTGAACCCCCTTCGGAAGCAGAAGAGGGGGGATTTTTTGTTTAAACCTGCAGAAGAGAGTGTAAAGAAAGTAATTTTCCACCGTCTTGAACCTGGGAGCGGGGTGTCAGGACAGAAGCTTTTGGGAAGTTCATTGACTACAGACAAACGTTTTTGACAGATAGTTAAAAGAAGAGAAACATAGTGATTCCATTGTTCTCCTTCGCATTTTAAAGGAACAAATATTGACAAAATATCTGAAAAAGGAAACTTTGTTGTTAAACCTGCCTTTGGGAAAAAAAAAAGGAAAGAGATGGATACAAATTGAAGTTTTCCCCCTAGAGGGAGCTTGTGAAACTGTTACTGAATTTGAACTGGGGAGCCTTGGCAGCTGCAAATAGATTAAGATCGTGGGAACAGACTTCTGACCTTGCATAACAATGTACTCAGAGGCTCTGGTGCGTGCTTTTTGCAAGGCAAGTGCTTTACTGGAACAGTTACATGAGAAGACGGATTTGACAAGTGCTTTACTGGAACAGGTACATGAGAAGACGGATTTGATGACTGTTGCGATTAGAAAATCTGGACAGGCAGTGGGTATCTATATAGAACCCACCCAGGAACCAACTTGTGCTCTGACAGATCAGATGAGGGAGGAGGTAGTTGTTGGACCTCGGGTGGCAGAGATGGAGGGAGCTGTGGCCCAGCAGGAACATGAGTTGTTGGATCTGACAAATGAACTTGGAAAAAGCCAGATTTGGAGAGATAGAGTTGTATTTGGCTTGGAGATGGGGGGCTGGATAGACCCCCCTATGCAGGGATGTTTTGACTTTTCAAGTCTGGCAATGGGCCGTGAGGAGTTTGGGGATGTGGGGGTCCTCAATTTTGGAGGGGGCTTGAAACATGTCTTTAAAAATCATATGGAGTTCAGTGTGGACTATGGAAAAGGGGCTGATCTGTCGAGAAGAGACAAAAATATTGTTAAGTTGGAGTTTCCACGAGTGAAAGGAGTAGGAGACAAAGTAAAGTACAGGTATAAATATGAAGAAGATCTGCGGAAGGGACATGGAAGAGACTTAAGGGCCTCGGACATAAGATTACCAGGTTAATGAACTAGATGGATGGGATAAGAAAGGACTGACTAAACCCGGGACCAGGAGGAAGAGACGTTGGATGAAGATTGGAAGAAAGTTTTTTTAAAAAAAATTTATTTAGGATTGTTCTGGAAAATTAATATTAGAAAAATGTTGGAATGAAATTATTTGGCTTTAGCAGAAATGTTAAAAAGAGTTTTGCAAGAATATGTTAAGGTTAGGAGAAATTGGTATGAATAAAACTTAAGTTTTAAATTTTAGGGTTTTTTATGTAATATAGGTTAAAATAGATCAAGGTAATTTAATGACAGGATATTATGAAAAATGGAAAGGATTTGCTGTTATAATTACTAACTAGAATACAAAAAAGGGAGGTGTGAGGAGGTCGATGAAATAAGGACATGACAGTTAAGGATTTGGGAATATTGGATTTGTTTTTAATTTTTGTGGTTTATTCTTGTTTTGTGATTTTGATGTGTTATGTGTTTTGCTTCCGTTTTTTGATTTTGACCTTTATCAATTTGTATTGATTGACCGCTGTTTGTCTTTCTATTGTTTTTATTTTTTTCCTTCTTTTTCTCTTTATCTCTTTTGTAATTTTAAAATTCTTAATAAATATCATTTAAAAAAAAAAAAGAAGCGTCCGCTTGCTCTCCAGTTGAGGTCTGGTGTGGATGGGCGCTGGTGGGGCTCCTGTCTTCTATTCTCAACTAGCTTGGGTTTTTGGCACTGCATGCTTCTGGGCTACTTTCTGAGCCTGAGTTCTGGGTTCCTCTCTGCCTCCCTGACATCCAGATCTCGATGCTCTGTGAGGAAGGGACTCTCTGGCTGCCTGAAGATCTTCTCTGTGCTACCTCTTCAGAATCTCTTCCTGGCTCTAGTTGACTCAGTGGGCTTGCTAACCGTGCGCAGGCACTGCCCCAGCTGGTCCCTAGGGATTGGGGCCACGTCTCCATCATCTGCCGCAAACCAACAAAACCAAGGAGGGCTCAAGAACTAGACAGGGAGGAGGCCTCCAGCGTTGCCTCTGTGGGGTGGGGGGATATTTTAAAAGCAATTCAGAATGGCCAGATTTGCAGGGGGCGGGGAGGTGTGCAGGACAGCAGCAACATTGGATGGTGAACATGGAGGAACAGTTTTCAAATGTGTAACTCAAGAATGGAATGCAAGCTTTCCTTTGCTAAAGATTTTCAAGGCAGAAAAGTGACATTGGGCATCACAAGGAGTGACTCCATGTCTTCCCGGGGTTAACAAGTGCTGTTTTCATTTTTTATTTCATAATTTCTATACAGCTTGATTGTCAAACAAAAACCTCAAAGCGGTTTACAAAAAATAAAACAGTAACGGTATCACACTAAGAAAAATTAACAAAAATAAAGAGTTTGGGAGAACTAAGATAACACACCAACAGATCGATTTCTTACAAATGCAGAAATGGTGTCTGTAGTAACGCCAGTTCAGCCGATCGAAGTTGTCAAGTGGGCATATATGGGGTAAGGCAATCTTGTTGTTGGCACCTGTCTGTCTCAAGAGACAAGGCAGTGCGCCTCTGGGAGGGAAGTCAGGTGTTAGCAGCACCAAAGAGACCTTCCCAGGACGCAAGCCTAGACAGTGTGTCTGCGGGTCCTGAGCTCCCCAGATGACAAGACCCTGCTGCTCTTGGCTTCGCTGATGGTGGTCCAAAGGAAAGCAGAGCAATACGTTTGGCACCAGCTTGGCTTGCAGAAGTTGCTGGAAGGAGGCTGACAAGGCGCCATCCAACTGCCTGAGGGAATCCACTCCGGATTTCTGTTTACTCCTTAGCCTTTCCTTCTCCCAAAAATATTCAGTGGAGGTTTTGGATCCAAGGTTTCCTTCTCCTAGTTGGGCTACCTTCCCAGGTAGACAAGCCCCACCTGCCCCATCTCAGTACGTTCCCATATAAATATGGGTTTTATTATGGTTGTTGTTGTGTTGTTGTTGTTACTACTACTACTTTGCGCCCCCTCGGCTGGGCGCTCTGTGCAGCGCAACTGCTTGCACTGCCCTAAATTCCCTCCAGATGTTCTTGGGATGCCTAGTCCCTGCTTGCAGGGCCAGTGGTGGAGGATGATCTGCATCAGCCTGCCCGCTGCTGAAGCCTTCTTTCTCTGCCCCTTTGCCACAAGCCCTTGGGCCCCACAGAAGCCTCAGCCCAGGCTCCCGGGCATGTTCCAGGGTTTATGTGGCACGTGAGCAAAAGCCTATCAGGTGATCTCATAGGTAAGCAAGCATTAGCTTCTGGAAAGAGCATCTAAGCTGCGTTTCACTGCTATGGGCGAGAACATGGTCAAAGGCTTTCCACATCACCCCACATGGCAACCAGAAAGGCCTGGTTCAGCTTTACAAGACTGAATGTGTTGTGGAGTAGTGGTGAATGTTAGAACCCACCACTACTCCAAGCCCCTAGCTCCTAAACGAAGGGGCATCCTCCTTTTCCTGAAACACCAAAAATTCTGGTGCATTTCAGGTAAAGAATTATAATGCCACAAAATCACAGCAGCCACTAGTAAGGAGCAGAGGGGTCTGCCCACTCAAATGCCCAGGCAGAAGCACTAGGGGATGGGGAGAAATAGCCTGGCAGAGAGAAGGAGGAGGAAGACAAAGCTGCTGCTTCATCAAGACAGGCATGAAGGCTGCCTGCCCCACCCCCTGCCCTCCTAAGCACTCCTGTCTCTCCTCGAGGTGGGCAAGGGGTCTCCGAACAAAACTCGAGACTGAGCTAGACGTGTTGGAACGGGAGGCTTTTAATGTCAGGACTGGAGTACAAAGCAATTCCCCTGGCACACTGTTTTATCCAAGATGTAAGGCCTGGGTGAGGGGAGTGCCAGGCGTTAGATGATGACGCACTGGGAGGCCCTGTGGCGGGCAGAGGCTCCCGAAGACAGGCGACGCTCCCTCCGCAGTCTCCTCTCCTCCTGTCTTCTGACTTGGATGTCTCGGGCAACTGCAATCCAGAGGTGGTGGTGGGGAGGTGGGTGAAAGCATCAGTCGAGGTCCTCACATTTTACCGGGCCAAGACATTTGGTCCTAGCTTTACTTCAATATGGGACGCGGGTGGTGCTGTAGGTTAAACCACAGAACCTAGGGCTTGCCGATCAGAAGGTCGGCGGTTCGAATCCCCACGACGGGGTGAGCTCCCATTGCTCGGTCCCTGCTCCTGCCAACCTAGCAGTTCGAAAGCACGTCAAAGTGCAAGTAGATAAATAGGTACCGCTCTGGCAGGAAGGTAAACGGTGTTTCCGTGAGCTGCTCTGGTTTGCCAGAAGTGGCTTAGTCATGCTGGCCACATGACCCGGAAGCTGTATGCTGGCTCCCTTGGCCTATAGAGCGAGATGAGCGCCGCAACCCCAGAGTCGGCCATGACTGGACCTAATGGTCAGGGGTTCCTTTACCTTTACCTTACTTCAATATACTTAGCTTTGCAAGGGGGGCTGGGCTACAATGACCCCTTGGGTCCTTTCCAACTCTCCAGTTCTATCCTATGATTCTATGTGTGCTGTTCTGCTGCAATGGAGGACACCTAGACTGGCTTGTGAGGAGGGGACAATCCTGCTTTGGGACCAAGGTGGAAGCAGGGCCCGCAGAGAGTAGGAAGGGGCCTCTGGCGCCTTCCGAGTCTTATTGGTTGAGCAGTCAATGCAGCTCAGTGGCCAGAAGGCAGCTTTGGGCCTGGCTTCATAATTCACTGGGTAGCCTTGGGAAAGCCGCCTTGCAACCGAGCCTAACTCACAGGGTTGCTGTAAGGCTAAACCACCACCGCGCTCCTTGGCAAGTGGGTTACAAAGGTAACTGCGATTCCTTTTATAAAATTTCTAAGCAAACGGGGTTCTGCAACTTTCAACTGATTAACTGGTTAGGTTAATAAGGGTTTAATGGATTGACAAATTAAAAAGTCACAGGCACCATCTCTAGGAGGCGTAAGGAAGACTTGGCATGCTCTTAAACCAGCTTGGTGCTCTCCAAGTGCTGCAGACTACAACTCCTCTCGGTCTCTGCCTTTGCAGTGGCTTGCACAAAAACAGCCAGCAAAGGGGAAGCAAGGGAGGCTTCTGTCGACAGAAACACAGAGGAAGCCGCCTTATGCGGAGCCAGAACCTCTAGCTCAGCACTGACCTACACTGGCTGGCAGCAGCTCTCCAGGACGGCAAGCAGGGAGGGGCTCTCCCAGCCCTACACCTAGAGATTCCAGGGACTGGGCCTGGGGCCCTTTGGCATGCCAAGCAGGTGTCTTGCCACTCCACCTTGCGTATCCTTGCAGTACCTGCTTCGTCGACGGACTTCTGTATGGCTTCTGCCAGCTCCTGGTCTGCGATCTCCTCGGGCCGCACGTCCTCTCGCCCCGCCCCGTAGGCCAACCTTGCACACTCGGGGAGCTCCCCCTCCGGCAGGAAGGTCGTCTGGGAGCCGGTAGTGCCAATCACCAGCACGTTCTTTTTGAGGTCTATGGAACACTGGTGGTGGGTGGGAAGGAGCAGAGATCCTGGTTAGGGGACACCAGGGGAGCTTCATTGCTCTTCAACTGCAGGCAATGCCCTAATGCCAGACAGCTTCAAAAGCACCCAGGGAAAAACAGGGTAGATGGCCAATGCCCTACAAATGAATGTGACAGGTAAAGCATTCAAATGCCCTGAATCCATTCAGTTACCTTCCCTCAGTATAATATAGAGTCCATGGTTTTTAACCATCTTGTTTAACCACTATGTCTATGCCACAAGTAGTTCCAGTTGCAACCTTCCTCGCAGTCACATACCTGTGGCTTAGTTATTTGGCTTTATTTTATATTTCTTTTTGTTGGGACAGTGAACAAAAATAATTTTATTTTTCTTATAATAAATTCCTATTGAATTTTCAAAAAATATTAACATAATGAATTTGTCTTTTCTCTTACTTCCCGCCCCATTTTCCATGGTGTTTTAATTTCTACCCCCTCTGCTGCCCACTGCATTCTATTTCTTATGCCAACACATCAACATTGTATTTCTCTAATTCCTTCTGTGGCTCATAATTCAAATCCTGCACGCGAGGTCATCAAACTATAATATCTCCTTAAGTAGTCTTAAAAGCACCTCCATACTTCCACAAAACTATCATTGTTAGATTCTCTTATTCTGCCTGTTAACTTTTCCAATTCTGCATAGTCCATCACCTTACTTCTCCATTCTTCACTGGCGGGAACTTCTTCCTTCCAAGTGATACTCAATTGTGAATGGACTATGTATACTGCTATCAAATCCTGAAGCAGTTAATTTGCAGGATTTCTATATAACGCTTAAAAAAACCCTATTGAACATACAGTGGTACCTCGGTTTAAGAACTTACTCTGTTCCAGAGGTCCATTCTTAACCTGAAATGGTTCTTAACCTGACATGTGCTTTTGCTAATGGGGCCTCCCGCTGCCGCTGGTGCGCAATTTCCATTCTTATCCTGGGGCAAAGTTCTTAACTTCCTGCTTAGCGGAGTTTGTAACCCAAAGCATCTGTAACCCAAAGCATCTGTAACCTGAGGTACCACTGTATTTCTTTTTTTAAAAAGGGTAGAAGCTGCTGGGCGAAGACCACACACAGAGACACCCACACATACACATTTCAGCCTTCGCCAGCCTCACCTGGTGCCTCTTCAGCATGTCCAGTCCCAGGAGCATATCCATGGGCTGCTCCTCCAGGATAGAGAACGAACAAGGCAGGAAATCTCCTTCAATCTGGACCTGAGCTAAAGCAGGGTGGGGGTGGGGAGAAGAGAGACTGGCATATTAACCAAACCAATCCAATTCAAGTAACTTCATTGTTCTAGCCGTTGGCCATGACAAGTCGTATTAACGTAAGCAGCTGCCCGAAGCAGGAGCAGGCTAGAATTCCCACCCAAGTCCAGCACCCTGTTCTCCCAGTGGCCACCCACAAGCAGGATTCGAGCACAAGAACAACTCTTCCCTAATTGTGATTCCCAGCCACTGGCACTCATAAACATTCAGAGCAATATTTCATAAATATCACTGCAGACATATCTGAGATCATGGTATTTCCAACAAATGGCTCCTGTCCGGGTTTGTTAAATGTTGTGAGGATCCTATGCCCTGAGACCTCCGGGTATAGGGTGGTATATAAATTCAATAAATAATAATAATAAAATAAATTTCCCACCTCTGACAGCAGAGGGAAAACAGAGCCTCTACCCTCCTCCGTGAATCTAGCTCATGCTCTCTGCAAGTTGGCGGTCATCACTGCCTCCTGTGGGATAAGAGTTCCACTCTGTGCTGCCTGCAGCAGCCTCAACTCTGGCTCTAGAAACAGGGAGCTCCCCACCCTCCCTGCCACACCAGCCAGCTGCAAGGAATCTGCCGCCCTTACCCAGGTGGACCCTGCCAATGATCTTCTGGGTCCCCACGCCTTTGGCAATGCCTGCCCACCTCCGGTCCACCAGCCGCATGATGTTGCACCTCTCTGCGCATGCTTGGCTCATGATGGTCATCTGTGCCCCTGCCAGAAATACAGCAGCCGGTGTTAAGAGGCACACCCAACCTCTTCCCAGGGAGCAAAAGGGGCAGCTGCCCCATACTCTCCCCATTATGGGGGCAGTGCTTGGGAAAACATTTGCCTCTGGGGGCAAGGCTCTCTCACAAGCACAGCAGAAATTTAGCATTAAGTGCACAGGACCAAGGCAAGGGGTTGTAACCAACAGAGGTTTACTCAAGAGTAGCCCAATGTCTTGTTGGGTGACAAGAGCAAGTTTGGCATAGTGGTTAGCATGTGGGACTAGGATCCGGGAAGCCAAGGTTCAATCCTCGCTCAGTGGGTGACCTTGGGCCAGTCGCTGCCTCTTGGCCTAACTCACCTGAGTCCACAAAGGCTTTCACAGGGTGGCCGTTGACTTTGCAGTTGATGTAGAGCATCACCACCTGGCCAAAGCTCTCCGGGGCCTCCTCCATGGCGATCGTCATATTCTCCTCAATGTTCTGCTGCCTGGATCCAACATCAAAACACGGGTGAAGGGCAAGCATTAACCGCCAGCACCATGGATTGGGCTGACTGCCATGTGCTCCACGCCAGAAGCAGAGGCAGAGCAACCCCCCTGGGTCAGAGGGTGAAGCTGACAACAGGGCTGACCCAAAGCAAGACAGCAGGCCTGGCCTCGTGCAGGGCCCCCGAGATACTGCACAGGTTAGCCCTCTGTGTGCGTGCATGTGTAGAGAGGCTGCCTGAGATTCTTTCCCACCTGCTCTGTACAGAGTCAGACGCTTGGGTCCATCTAGCTCACTACTGTCTGCACTGACAGGCAGCAGCTCTCCAGGGTTGCAGGCAGGGAGTCCCTTCCCAGATCTATCTGGAAATGCCATTAGGAGCTGAACCTGCAACATTCGGTTTGCAAGGCAGACACTCTGCCATTGAGCTACAGCTCTTCCTCATAAACCCAACTGATGTGGGTTTGAGGATATCTATTGTCCCCAACCCCCTTAGAGGTCAGGGAGGCGCAGGAGTTCAGAGAAGGCTCAGCCAGGAGGCGACAAATCTGCACTACGTTTGCTCCAGGTTTGAAACCGACAAGCCACTTGCACCCCCAGGGGTGGCTCCCAGACCTTTGCCTACCTAATGTCCTCTTCGATCTTGGCCTGAGCCTCAAGATCAAAAGGGTCGGCGGAGAACAGGCGGATCCTCTCCTGCTCCCGGCGGGCTCGATCTTGCTGCTGCTCTACAAGCACCCGGGTGAACTTCTCTAGAGTAAGGAAAGACATTTGCAATAGCAACTAAATAGTTTATTATTTATACCCCGCCCATCTGTCTGAATTTCCCCAGCCACTCTGGGCGGCTCCCAATCAAATGTTAAAAACAGTACAGCATTAAATATTAAAAACTTCCCTAAACAGGGCTGCCTTCAGATGTCTTTTAAAGAGAGGATAGCTGCTTATTTCCTTCACATCTGAAGGGAGGGCGTTCCACAGGGTGGGCGCCACCACCGAGAAGGCCCTCTTGCCTGGTTCCCTGTAACCTCACTTCTCGCAATGAGGGAACCGCCAGAAGGCCCTCGGCGCTGGACCTCAGAAAGAAAGATGTTAATTGACTAAGTAAATTTTATGTGAAAATAGTTTTGGAAAACTGCTACAATGATTTATATGGAAACTCAGCCAGAGGGATTTGAGGAAGTCACTTAACAATGTTAACAAAAGTGGAATTATTATAGCCATGATAAATGTTTGCTTGTTTATTGCTGCTTTTTTTTCTGTTTGTTTGTTATAAACTTGGAAAACTAATTAAAAAAAAATGGGGGGGGGGGGGAATACAATAGCAACTGGCAGCCACAGCTAGCGTTTCTGTGGCACGCCTTGACAGCTCACGAAGCGCTCCATGTGCACCACCCAGCTCCAGTTTCTTTCCAAACACTCCTCACTTCCCTCCTCTCCCCAAATCCTCGTCCGTCTGGGATAGTGCAAAAACCAGGAAGTCAAACCATGCACCCACCCACCCACCTGAGCGCAGCCATGAGGCTAAAGCACCCATTCTTCTGCCCGTCCTGCAGCCTTCCAGCAAGTCACCCCAAAGAATCCAGGGGGCTTCTTCTCCTCCAGCACAAACGCCCCACGCCGGGGGGGGGGTGGATACTCACCCAGGTCCCCGCTGAGAAGAGCCTCTGCTAGGGGTGGGTTGCGCTCCTTCAGCAGGGAAAGCTCATGGGGATTGGCCAGCAACATGTCTCTCAACAGCGCCGGGTTGTCCAAGCCCTGCGGTGGGGAGGGGAACTCGGGAGGAGACGGGCCGGGCTGCGAGGAGGGCTGCTGCGCTGGGGGTGCCAGTGAGGGCAGCTGGGGAGGCTGGCTTGAAGTCCCAGGAACTGCGATGCTGCTGAAGTCTATCCTGGGCAAACCTAGGCAGAGGGGAATTAAGAGAACAGTTAATACTAGCCCTGGTGATTTTTACCCTATGGGCGGGGGAACGCCAAGGCCCAATCCCCTCTGATACACACATACACCATAGCTGTTGACTTTTCCCTTTCCTTGCGAGGAATCCTATTCGGAATAAGGGAAATTCCCTTTTAAAAAAAGGAAAACTTTCGACAGCTATGCACACACACACACACAGCCATGCCAAGTATCCAGCCTCCACAATGTAGTTCAGCAGGTTGACAAAACAATAGAATCACAGAATTGTAAAGCTAGGTGGGACCTCCAATGGTCATCTAGCCCAACCCCCAGAAATGCAGGGACCACAGTCAAATAATCACGGACAGGATGGCCATCCAACCTGTGCCTAAAGTCCTGCTATGTAGGAGAGTCCACGTCCTTCTGAGAGTGTTTGGTCCACTGTCAAACAGCTCTCCCTGCCAGAATGTTTTTCCTGATGTTTAGCCAGACTCTCCTGTCTCGTAACTTGAACCCGACGGTTCAGGTCCTGCCCTCTGGAGCAGCAGAAAACAAGCTTGCTCCATCTTCCATGTGACAGCTCTTTAGATTTATGAAGATCCAGTCAAGAGAAACAGCAATGGTAGCTCAGGGATCACAGCAGCCTCTGCTACGAGGAATCTCCTGCTTTTTCCTCCAGGGAAGAGGAAACTCACAAGTGTCCTTACGGTCTCAGCATGTGCAGAGCATGACAAGGAAGCAATGCTCAAGCTTGGAGCAGTAGGAACAGCGGTGAGCAGAAGGCAGTTTCCCAAAGCAGGAAGAAGAGGCTGGCTCAGCCCACAGTTTCATAGAGTTATAGAATGCAGGAATCCCACCCACAGCTGCCCCTGGGTGGGCTCAAACCACCAACCTTCTGGTTAACAGTAAGACACACTGGCTCAGAAACCTTTTAAGGAAACCGTTATTTAAGACAGCAAAGTTAAACGCTCAGAGAATCAACAGACTCCTAGGCTCAATGTGACCTGAGTCCTGTGGACAGCCCAGACCACGGAGAAGTCTGCCAGGGACAGGGTGGGGTGAAGAGGGAGCCTTCCTCACCGGGAAATGGGGCTGGGGGCCGCACCCCCGCATTCTCCACTTGCTGCAGGATCACCACGTCGCCGTCTTTCAAGCCGTAAGAAGCCAGCGACCGGTGGTTGTCAGTCAGGGGCTGCTCTGCGTAAACAATCTGGGAGACAAGGGAAGGGTGGTTAATAAACAACTCACCATATCTGACTAGGAGAAAAGGACTGCCAAGAAAGCTCAGGCACGAGAGAATAAATGTCCACACTCCACTGCTGCCCGGACACACACAGGATGGAAGATCCCCAGAGGGATCTGTGAGGAGCAGGCCTTAAGCAGAAGAGACTCAGCTTGCCTCACTTTTGCTAGCCAACAGGGTGCCAGAAGAATGAGGACTGGGGGCTTGTGCTGTGCTTTGGACTGATTCAGGACATGTAACGCAATGTTTTCCCCTGTGGAATACCCTCCAATCAGATGTCAAGGAGATAAAGAACTACACAACTTTTAGAAGACATCCGAAGGCAGTCCTGTATCAGGAAGTTTTTAATGTTTGACGTTTTATTATGTTTTTATGTGTGTTGGAAGCTGCAACCCAGCTGGATGATAGGGTATAAATATTTTTAAAAATTAAATTATAATTATAAGAAACCTGGCATTTGTCGGGAGAACTCCTTCCACATTTCCCTGCGCAATCACACTCAAAACCACAGATAATGCTATCCTTATCTTGCTTTGCTTCATGGAACCTGCACTGGAAGTCAGTGGCCTGAGAGATAAGACTCAAACACAGGACTGCTGGCTATCAGGTGAGCGCCTTATGACAGCTTTGCATCTCAACACTTTCAAGGCAGACAAGAGGTGGCAAGAAAATGCCATGTCAGCGAAAGAGCAGGCTTGATGGAGGAGGGAGAGAGGGCTTTGCCGAATTCCCCACGCAAAGCCTCAGGCAGGTAAGTATCACTTTCGCTTTCCAACTTACAGTCTTGACATCCCATGGCACAGTCCTGGGCAAAGGCAGCCCAGGAGCAAAAGAGCCACACTTGACTCAAACAGTTCACAAAAGAAGCCAAGTCAGCGGCTCTTCTCTGAACTGATCCAGGTTATGAAACACACGGTACTTACACCAGCCAGCCTGGCGCGGAGCAGGGAGTTCTTTGGCCTCCAGGAAGTCGCTTCTCCTCCCAGTCCCAAGACACCATTAGGAGTTGGCAAAAGTCGTGCACACCTCTACTATGGGATGCGTCATTCACAGTGCAAGATGGGAATTCAAAAGCAGCTCCTCCAGAGCCGCCCACAAGCCTGAGCAATCTTGCCCAACTGGCACAAAGGATTGTGGGTGAGCCAGTTCTATCAGAGGCAGGAGCCACCTCCGTCAAGGGAGGGGCGCCAGGAAACGCAGCAAAGGCAAGGGCAAGGGGTTCCAGTACCAGGAGACACCTGGCCAGCTCTCTGGGAGGTGGGCATGGACTGGGCTGGATCCCTCAATGTTTCACTGGGGGAACATCTCCCCCCCTCCCGCAACCCACCAGCCCTGTTCTCCTCCAGCTTGCTTCTATCACCAGTCCATAATGTGCAATATGAGAAGGAGGCAGGGAGAGAGATTGAGGAGGCAGGACAGAAGGGGCGTAAAAGGAGGCCCAGTGAGTCAAGGGGGGCTCCCTACTCTGAGACAAGGATCCGGGGGCCCATCTGGGAGCTCCATGGTGTTTACTGCTCCATGATGTTTACTGCCTGTATGAAGGGAGCAGTTTAGCTATGGAGGCGGGAGAGAATTCACAGCTTCCTACAATCTTAAAATAGACGGTCATGATACTCTGGCGCAAGAGTCCGGGGAAGGACCTCACGTTGCCAACCCAAGATGAGCCGGACACTCACTCCTCTGTTCCAGGCGGTTGCCTCATCCTGCAAAGTCCTGTTGATTGCAAGAGACTTCCAAGCTATGAGGTCCCCATTTTGACTCCCTACCTTCCCATGGGACAAGGTTGATTCCAATTAAGCTTACTCCAAACAAGACCCACTGGCATTGGTTGATCTTCATTCTTTTCAGGTGTGCAGGGCCTGATGCACTCCTGAGAAACATGAACCACACCACGGAGACTCCTCTGGGTGGTTACAGGGGCCAGGTCAGCATAACTACCTTCCAAGCTGAATTATTATTTATTTAAATTTACTACTCGCCCTTCACCCTAAGATCCCGGGGCAATTATTTAAAACACAACATTAAAAACTGTTTTAAACAACTTACGATCACAAGAACAGGGTCAAAGCCCAGGGTAAAGAGGTGCCAGGGTAAACACAGACAATCCTAAAAACCTAGCCTCTCTACCTTAGTGGCAAAGCCCCTGCTTGGCATACAGAAGGTCCAGGTTCACTTTCCACCAGGATCTCTAGGTAGGGCTGCGAAAGACCAAGGCATGAGAGCAGCTGCTAGTCTGTGTCAGCCACACTGGGGCAAACCGGTTGACTTGGCCCAAAGCAGCTTAAGCTGCTTTCATTTTTACAGACCCACAGCTGGAGGAAGTGGGCCCCACCCCAACCCCTGATGCAAGATGCTCCTAGGGGAGATTGGCAGGGGCTTTCCTCTCCCACTCTGCTTTTAACAAGCTGCACACTGTGGCACGCAGAGACCGCCGACACCGCCTCCTTTATCAGTCTCTCATGAAAAGCCAGGCAGAGTTTTATCACATATCTTGAGGAGCCACCAACAGAGCCAGCTGCAATACAAACTGCAGCACAGCACCCAACAGACACCCCACCAAGGCTGCCTCCTACACCAGTGTTTCCCAACCTTGGGCCTCCAGCTGTTTTTGAACTACAATTCCCATCATCCCTGACCACTGGTCTTGCTAGCTAGGGATGATGGGAGTTGTAGTCCAAAAACAGCTGGAGGCCCAAGGTTGGGAAACACTGTCCTACACAACCAGAGCACCAGTTGTTGCTGGGCTACCACCTCATCACTGGCCACACTGGGAACTGGGAGTCCGACAATACCTGGAGAGCCACCAATGCCACTTGCTTTTACTGGCCCTAGCTACCTCCAATGCTATTTTTCCTTCTTTTAACGCAGGGAGTGAGAAACTGCAGCCCTCCTGGGTGCTGCTGGCCTTCAGCTCCCTGGTCATGCAGGACCACTGATGGGAGTCCAGCAATGTCTAGAGCAGTGGCGGCCAAACTTGGCCCTCCAGCTGTTTTTTAGACTACAACTCCCATCCTCCCTAGCTAATAGGACCAGTGTCCAGGGATGATGGGAACTGTAGTCCCAAAACAGCTGGAGGGCAAAATTTGGCCACCACTGGTCTAGAGGGTTCCAGGTTGGGAAAGGGTGCTTTGATCCACCTGGAAGACACCCATCCAATGTTAGCTAGGCATACTCGAGAATAGCCCACACTGAAGCAGATAATGGGCTTATGAAGCAACCCCTCCCCATTAGATGAAAATGGGTCTACTCTTGAGTACAGGTGGCTAACACTGGCCAGATACTGTCTATTTGGTTGTAAAGCCAATGTGGGTCCTACTCAGCGGAGACCCACTAACAATAATTGGACTGAGTTAGTCTTTATTCATTTAAAAAAGTCTGAGAAGGGCTATTGTCATATTTGGACTGTGCTTGGCACTGAAATTTGTTGATTTCTTTGGCAACGCTAACCCTACACAGAGTGGACACACTTTTAATTAATGGACATGGCTAACTTTGCTCCATTCCCTTCAATGGGTCTACTCTTGGTAGAACTTACATGGATATGACCCACGGGGTTGGGCATCCTGAAGCTTTTCGGAGGGGGATAACCACCACTGCTTTACTAATCCTACTATCTCTATCATATTCACATACCACTTTTTTGCCAAAGGTGCCCAAAGCAAACAACAGTTTAAAAGGCAAATGGCACAACATGTAAAGAGGCGATTTGCATGTGACATACACACAGGACAATTATTAATAAATAAAACATGATTAAAAACCTTAAGAAAGCAGATATATAGAGGAGGGGGAGGGAGAGATACACACACTGCTGGGTCAAGACCCCATTGACCCAGCTGGGGAAAGCCGGACCCATGCATCCAAACGGTGAGCGCTACTCAAGAGGAGACCCTTCCATAGGCCTGCAGAGCTGGAAGGGGCCAGGGACTGCTAGGGTCATCTAGTCGCACCCCCGCCCCGCCCTTGCAATGCAGGAACCACAGCTAAACCCGAAGCTGATTAAAAAGCAAGGGAGGCCGGATTAAGCCGCCCTCGTTTTCAAAGAGGGTCTACTCGGAGTAAGAGGGGGAGGCGCGCGAGAGCACACACAGAGAGACACACACACGCGCCCCTTTGGCCTCGCCTTATTTCCCCCCCCTCCCCCCTCAGTTCTATTGATGTCCCAGCCCCGGGCACGCGCACCCCTCCCCCTCCCGGGCGCGCGCGCTGACCTGGCTCTCGGCGGCGGGGATGCCGGACTCGAGCTCGCAGAGGGCGCGGAAGTTCTGGAGCTCGAAGTCGGCGTCCACCTGGAGCGAGAAGGTGAGCTCGGAGCGGTCGCGCCGCAGGCAGAAGACCGTCAGGAGCATCGCTCGGCCGTGGGGTTGCCGGGTAGGGAGCGAAGGCGCGAAGGACGGCAGAGCGGATCCGGAGCCCGCCTGGCTGAGCCCCAGCTCGCCCGCCCGCTTGCCTCGCCTCAGAGACGCCGCAAAGCGACGCCGCGTTTACGGCAGCGCCTCTTGAACGCCCCGCCCCGCCCCTCCGTCGCAAAAGGACGGGCAGGTGGGCGGGGACAGAGCTGCGCCGGCGCGGCGTCGCCCCGCCCCCGGGGCGGAGCCCTTAGGGGTAGGGGCGGGAGGAGGCGGCCACGACGTCCGGCTCCGTCGCCGGGTGCAGGGCAGGACCAGAGGGGGGCGAAGGTGGCGTCGTTGGTAGAGTTGCAGCGTTTCTGCTGTTATTTTATTTTTCCAGGTCGCGATGACAATTTTAGTGGAGGCTGTGGATTAAATTTAATGATTACTTAGTTAAATACGTTAAGTTAAATTAACTGAAAACAGCTTGCAGATACTTAATTGGCTCAGGATTTTATTTATGTTAAGTGTCGAATTAATATGTTTAATTTCATAATGTGAAGATCTAAGGATGTTAATGTTTAAGGTAAAATTTATAAGAACTGTGATTTGGAAAACCGTTAAAAGGACATGCAATGAAATTCAACCAAGGGGAAGCAAGGAAGTCACTTAACAATGTAAACAAGTGTAATTCTCAATAAGGCTATGGTTTATGTTTGTTTGTCTTATGTGTTTGTTTGTTTATAATGTTGTGAAAACCAATAAAAAATTTTTTGGGAAAAACCCCACAATTTTAATGGAGGCTGAGTGGCAGGAAGGTAAAGGATCCCTGGACGGTTAATAATAATAATATTATTATTATTATTATTATTATTATTATTATTATTATACCCCGCCCATCCAGCTGGGTTTCCCCAGCCACTCTGGACGGCTTCCAACAGAATATTAAAATACAATAACCTATTAAATATTAAAAGCTTCCCTAACCGGGGCTGCCTTCAGATGTCTTCTAAAAGTCTGGTAGTTGTTTTTCTCTTTGACATCTGATGGGAGGGCGTTCCACAGGGTGGGTGCCACTACCGAGAAGGCCCTCTTCCTGGTTCCCTGTAACTTGGCTTCTCGCAGCGAGGGAACCACCAGAAGGCCCTTGGTGCTGGACCTCAGTGTCCAGGCAGAACAATGGAGGTGGAGACGCTCCTTCAGGTATACTGGGCCATGGCCGTTTAGGGCTTTAATGGTCAGCACCACCACTTTGAATTGTGCTCGGAAACGTACTGGGAGCCAGGTTAAGTCCAGTCAAAGGCAACTACGGGGTTGCGGCGCTCATCTCGCTTTCAGGCCGAGGGAGCCGGTGTTTGTCCGCAGACAGCTTTCTGGGTCATGTGGCCAGCAGGACTAAACCGCTTCTGGCGCAACAGGACACTGTGACGGAAGCCAGAGTGCACGAAAACGTCGTTTACCTTCCCACTGCTGCGGTACCTATTTATCTACTTGCACTGGTGTGCTTTCGAACTGCTAGGCTGGCAGAAGCTAGGACAGAGCAACAGGGGCTCACCCCATCACACAGATTTGAACCGCTGACCTTGCGATCAGCAAGCCCAAGAGGCTCTGTGGTTTAGACCACGGCACCATCCACTCCCTCTCCCAGTACTATCCAGGTGTAACTCAAGGCTTCTTTCCACTGCTGCTGCTCCTCCCTGGAGCCTTCAGTCTATGCTGCAAACTGGGCTGCAGAGATCCAGTACTGGTCAGTTTGTCCCAGTCTGGCTGACTGTTGGCGAGGGTGGCCTTTTCTTACTGTTGGGAAGCACAGTTGCTCCAAATGTAGTTAGATTGCATTTGTTCAAAACTCTGCTTTATATTTAAATCAAAATATTACCTAAAACACCCAGACTGAAAACAAAACTAAATTGCAGAGTCATGCATTTTCAGGATTCAGAAGCTACATCTGGTTCTCCCCCCTCAAAAAAAATGTGTGCCCTATCTCATCACTGAGCAAGTTTCTTTAGGTTATTCAGGTACTCCATGGCAAAGACATTCCAGAAGATGCCCTTCTTTGCTCCTATGTGTCTTCACATTCTCTGTACACATCCCTCTCATTGCCTGTTGCAGCTAATTGTCGTTGTTCTTATTTATTTATTTCCCACCTTTGCCCCCCAAGTTGGGATTCAAGGCCGCTCCCAAATTATTTTCAAAAAAACAGCTATCACTGGAAGGTGAGGCCACTTTATTTCAGAAAACAAAATTCAAGTACAGCAATCTTTTGTTGGGAGACCAGAAACAAGTCACAGTGGCAGTAAGCATGTTTGGGAGACGTCCACAAAGGAACTGAGACGTGGATTCTGCAAGAGTTCATTCAGGGGGGCTGCTCACTCTTCCTTCTCTTCCTCCAAGCGGCATCTGCTTCCCCTTGCCCACCCCCAAAATCCTAATCCCCACCCACCAGGCCCTGGTCCCTCGATCCTGAGGACTCCCAGTCTCCAAATGTTGTGTGTACTCAGTGCCTGCACTGCTTGGGGCCGCCGCCACGGAAGAGGTGGGCTCCCTACTCCTCCTGCTGGGAGACCCTCAGTCCGATTTCTCCTTCTCCTTCATGTGGAGGAACACGATGCTGAACAGGAAGAGGCCCACCATCATGGAGAAGGCGCTGGCATAGTAGGGGTACGCCGAGGGGATGAATCGCTCGTACTGCGTGTGCTGGAGGGGACGCACCGATACCTGGCAAAGGCGGGAGATAGCAGAGCAAGGTGTGAGGAGGCTTCTCAGGAGCCACCCAGACTCACGGGTGGGGAGTTCTGTCTCCCACCTTACGGGCAACAAGCAGGCTTCTTGCAAAGCACACACCCAGCAGAGAAAAACCACCATCGAGTCAAAGATTTAATCACTATAATTAATAAACATATCCAGCTCCTTTATTAAAAGCACACAGAGCAGACTGCAACAAGGCCTGTGGTGTTAGGAGGACTGGAGAGGGATTCTGCCCCTCTCAAAGGGCAATTGCAATGAAAAGCCAAAACTGAACTGCCCTGAATCATTCTCAGCTCACTGAGTTCCTCCAATGAGAGCCCTGTCTGGGAGCCCCTCATCCCACATTCCCGAAGGGAAAGGGGTCAGGATAGCTCTTTGGTGGGCCAGGCACTGTGGGCCAGGGATGGGGAATCTGCAACCATTGGTCATGCCAGCTGGGGTTGCCTATTTAACATAAGAACCACCACCTGCTGGATCAGACCAGTGGCCCATCTAGTCCAGCATTCTGTTCTTACAAATGGCCGACTAGATGTTGGTGGGAAACCAGCAAGCACAATTTGAGCACAAGAACAACTCTCCCCTTCTGTGATTTCCAGCAATTATCTTCTAATGGGCTTGTCTTTTTTCCTGTTAGCTAGCTTGAGAGACTCGAAGCTACAAACATGAGTCTGACCAAATTGCGGTAGGCAGTGGAAGACAGGAGTGCCTGGCGTGCTCTGGTCCAGGGGGTCACGAAGAGGCGGACACGACTAAATGACTAAACAACAAGCTTGAGAGATCGGGGAGCCCAAGATTTACAGGAGGCACCATCCATGGTATCTTTCCACCCGGCTCTTGGGCCAGAAGCTCCTTCCTTGCCCAGGCCAAGGCTCTTCTTACCTGGGTGGAGGAGTACAGGTGGGTGTAGCCCAGCCGGTTGTAATCCACTTTGAACTGGAAGACTCCATAGACGTCGGGCAGCTTGAACTGGACACTGTACTTGCCTCCTAGGAGCCAAACACATTTCAGGGGGTCTCAGGCCAACTTGTGGTCAACATGCAAAGAAAGTGAAGGCGTCCCCCTCCTCCCCCTCTGCATTTCAACAACCTATCCTAACTCCTGTCATTCTGACCTGGAAGCGTAATAGTTTCTGTGGCTCCGGTGGCCACACTACCCTTAATCCAGTAGAATTTGTGCCCATTATACAGTTGGGAACTGGAGGTCGTCTCCCAAGTAGGAAATTCAAGCCCTGCTCAGAGCACACCTGCTGAAATTCATGGACCTAAGTGGGTCACACCTCGAGTAGGACTAGCACTGGCTGCAACTCTCAGCCCCAGAGCAAATTCTCTGCACATATCCCTCTCACTGGCTGTTGCGGCTAGTTGCTGTTATTTTAATTTTATTTCTTTATATCCCACCTTTCTCCCAAGTTGGGATTCAAGGCAGCTTACAACGTTATGAAATGCAAAATAAGAAAAGCAAACTAGTTATAAGACAGTAATTCAAATACAGCCATATCTCGGGTTACAGACGCTTCAGGTTGTGTTTTTTCGGGTTGTGGACCACCAAAACCCAGAAGTACTGGAACAGGTTACTTCTGGGTTTCGGCGGTTGCACATGCACAGAAGCGCTAAATTGCGCTTTGCACATATGCGCCGAATCGCAACCTGTCCGTGCACAGATGCACCGCTGCACGTTGCGGACGCTGCGGGTTGCGAATGTGCATCCCGCACAGATCACATTCGTAACCTGAGCGTCCACTGTATAGCAAAACACATTTAGAACCAGCAATTAAGATCCAGTTCACCCTGACAGCAGTCCATTGATCAACACTATGTGCACTTTATCTTTCAAAGGCCTGTCTGAACAATAAGGTGTCAGCATGCTGACAGAAGAGTAGGAGGGAGCCAGTCTAACCTCTCTTGGAGGGGGGCGAAATTCCACAATCAGGGAGCAGCCACTGAAAAGGCTCTCCCTCTTTTTCTTTCTCTCTCTTCTGTCCCCACCAGCTGTGCTTCACGTGTTTTTGGGACTGAGTTAAGGTGCTCAACCTGTGGATCTTAGCAGCTGGGTAGGTTCAGACAGTATAGGTGGCAGGTCTCTCGATGTGTATCAGAATTTCTCATCACCATCCAACATCACTATGAAAATTTCTTTTTGTTAACGTGGAGGTGTTAGGATACTGCAAGCCTGGGTCATAACAGACTGCAAACCTGCATACAAACTACTGACCTCAGGCCAGAAATGAATCTTTTCTAGAAAGTAACAGAGGTGGTTTCACCTCTCCCCCACTCCTAGGTCACAGTGGAGGGGGCACGATTCTGAAATTTTCAAGGGGCTGACAATGCACGACTGAGAAAGTATCTGGGAGAAAACGGAACCAGCTTACCATTCCTCCTGAGGAAAGTTCTCACAAACGGGTCGATGC